TCGATCCGGGCATCCGTGAGTCGGTCAGTCGGACAGGCGGACAGCAGAGAGCAGACAGCACTACAGCAGCACGCCAGCGGCCAGCAGACAGTCCGTGAGTCCGTGACTCTCAGTCTCTGTCGCAACGATGAAGAAGAAGAAGAGAAGAAGTGATGTGATGGTGAGGTCGGTCGCAGCCGATGAAGAAGAAGTAAGGTAGACGGAAGTCTGGTTGGTCGCTACGCTACTCGCCTCTCGCCTACTCGTCGCTTGCTTGCAGCGGTGCAGCCTTGCACTAAGACTGAACTGAGGTTAGAGGGGCCTTTTGCATCTTGTTGTTGGGGGCCCAAATTCATTTCATTGAAAAATACAAGTAAACTAATTTTTTTTGGGCCTTCCTGTTAAAAATTTGTTGGGGGCCCAGGACCCCTACCCTCATCACATACATCCGCCCCTGTTGATGTTCATGTTCAAGTTGAAGAACATGAATATGAATGTTTGTGTTCATATGTTTGATAGAGTAAATTACATGCTTTGTCTCGGTGATTTTAATAAGAAATAAAAATATAAATTAAATGACTAAAATACCCTTCTAAATTAAATGAGTTAACGGGGGATTTTTGGACGGAATTAGATTTAAGGACCCAATATGTTATAAAATGTAAACCACAAAGAGATAATCCATATATATTTCAAAATAGGAACCAGAGTCTTAAAAGACATGAACCACATAAACTATATTTGTAATTTACTCTAACGAGCCGTTTATCAAATGTTTATTTGAGTAAGTGCTTACCAAGTTATATTATTTTACCGGATGAATATGGTAAGAACCAAAATTCTTATCCGATAAGAATGAGGCAAGGACTGAGAGTCTTATCCGGTAAGTGAGGACAATGACTCTTACCACGGTTAGCTCTTATCGGATAAATTGTTGCATAGAAAACTGTTTTTATTGGCTAAAATCTTACCCGGTAAGTAATTAATAATATTGAAATTTACCGATAAATGTTTGATAAACGACCCCTAAGTGTTTGTCCTTTATTTTCATCTTCATCTTCATTAAAAGCATAAATAAAATCTATTGAAGAACATCAAGAATAAAGCAACCATTTTTTTTCTATTTAAGCATTTTTAAATATTTTATTTTCTTTTACTTGAATCTTCATCTTCTTCACCTAACCAAGAACAAGAAAATCTCCAAATCAAAATTCAAACAAAAAAACTCCTTTTCTTGTTCTTATTCATCTTCTTCATATTTGTTGGGTTTTAAATTGTAATTGTAATCAAGGTGTAGGGGATTATTTTGTAAATACCCATGGGTTGTAAATACTTTTGTGTTAGTTTGTGTAGTAAGTAAGCTCTTTCATTGTAATACGTATCAACTTCTAATACTCTCTTTCAATATTAATGCCAAGATGATTTCTCAATTGATGAGATTTGAAGCTTTTGTTCGTATAACATGATTATGGGTTTAACAATTGGTATCAGAGCAAAAGGTAGGTGTTATTTGATTCAATTTAGATGAATTGTGAATTATTTTTGAAGGTTTTGAGCTTTGTTTGGAGGTTCAACTGTTTCTTGATCAATCTTGTTGATTGTGAGGAATAATTGATCATTTCTTGTTTCAATTGATTCAATTTTAGTAATGGAAAGAATCTAAACCAATTTCTTCCTCAATTTGATAGATCTTGATCATAATTTTGGTTCTTTGAAGAATTTTTCTGTTCGAACTGTGTTCTTGATAGTTTTAGGTGGATCTTATCTGATTCAATCATCCAATAGATGTTGAATTTTGTCATCCGACTAGATCCAAATCCAATGGATGATTGGATCAGATCGATTCCATCCATCATTGGATGTTACTATTGGTTATTCATTGGATCAGTTTTGGTTATTCTCATAAAACTTTACAACATGAGAAACAATAATTTTGTTTGAATCCAAACTATACAATATGTATTCCTTTGTGAATTTGCATATCCCAAATAAGATACATTTTTTAGATCCAGAATTAAATTTATCTGTGATGTTAGGTTTTACAGCAAAACATAGACATCCAAGATTTCTAAGATGAGTGAAGAAAGGTTGAAAGTCGTAAATAAGCTCATATGGGCACTTACCTTTCTAAAAGGAGGAACGTGTCCTATTTATAAGATATATAGAAGTGAGAATACACTTACTCCACATGTTTAAAGGAATTCTTCCCTTAAACATAAGAGCTCTAGCTAGGTTAAGTGAATGACGATGTTTGAGTTCCACAACCCCATTTTGTTGGGGAGTACAGACACAAGATGTTTGATGTATGATTCTCTTTTATTTGAAAAAATCACTTAGTTTTAAATTTGTGAAGTTAGAACCATTATCACTTCTAAAAATTTTAACAGATTTTCCAAATTGGATGCCAAGATGATTGAAAAATTCGACAACATTATCACCTACCTCATGCGTTCCTTTCAAAAGGTAAACCCAAACAGCACGAGTGAAATCATCAACAATAGTAAGAAAATATTTGTAACCTTCCTTGCTTTGAACATGATAAGGACCTCAAACATCCAAATGAACTAATTCACCAAGGTACTATTGACTTATGATCACTCAAATTGAATTTATCCCTAGTTTTCTTGTTCTTTTTTTGCCTTATGACATATCTCACAAGGGTTACAAACTTCATTTGCAATTTTGAGTTGGTTCTTTACAACGTTTAACACTTGGTCAGTTGGTGACCAAGACGACTGTGCAATAATTGAGTCGGCGGAGAACACCACACAGTGAAATTATTGGAATGAGAAGAGGACTCACTATTAAATTTCTCATCAAAGATATATAATCCACCTTCGTGACTACCAGTCCCCACAACGCTCTTTCAAAGAGAATCCTGAACATAACATTGAGACTCATCAAAGCCTAGAAAAACTCTATTATCCGTAGCTAGTTTGTGAGCAAATAGCAAGTTGAAATTGAAATCTGGTACTACCAACACATCAAATAAAGTTACATTGTTTGAAAGTTTAAAGTTTCCAATTTTGTTTATCTTTGCCTCAGTTCCATCAGGGTGATTCACCCTAAGATGTAAATCAAACCCATCCACCACATTTTCAAGATTAAGGGTGTTGGATGTCATGTGTTGTTTTGCACCAGAATCAATAATCCAACCAGATCTAGGGGTTTTGGTAATACTCGCCATATTGGTAGTTACCCTTTCTAAAGTGTGTTTTTGACCTATTAGGCTAAGGACTTTTTGCAACCTGTTCTTTAGAGAACGGAAATGATGAAGTGGACACAAGTTGTTTACGAGAATGAGATTCAAAAACACACATATTACTGGCTAGAGGATTAAAATTTTGATTTTGTGGTTTAGGTCTATTTTAAAAATCTTTGGGAAACCAATGAGTTTAAAACATCTTTCGATGGTATGTACAACAACGCCACGATGTTTACACATAAGAGTTGAGGGTCTGCCAAACCTCCTTTTTATTATCAGTGGCTTTGCTTAAAAAAAGCAGAGTGTTGTGTCTTAGTGCGAGGTAAAGGGGGCCCCCCCCCCCCCAAGGTGAGATTCTTCTCTAGATAAAAACGAGAAAGTAATTTTGACCGAAGAAAGAGAATCCCTAATATGAATATTGTTTCTAATGGGTTGATAGATATCAACAAGACCCATAAATAATTGCATAAATTTGATAAGTTGATTGTGTTCAAAAAGCCATAAGAAGCATTGCAAGTGCATGGAGTTTAACAAAGTATCAAACTGTTTCCATCTTAAAATTCATAACCAAATACATTTCTCCACAACTATTACAAACCAAATACAATAAATCTAATCTAGTTACAATGTAAAATACAGAGAATCTAAACTAGTTACACGAAATACAACTCAAAATCTTAAACCTAAGAGAGAAAACCCTAAACCTAAGAGAGAAAATGATCCGATGAAGTCGATCAATATATGAAAGAGTGAACTAGTAATTCTTGAGATAAGAAAATTTAAAGTTTATACATCTATCAATATTTACAAAATAGCCCCTGAAGTATAACCAAACTTGCTTTGCTAACCTCCATGTTCTAGTAAAAGTGAGGCGCAGCCTTTCAGTCCTCCAATTTGTCTTCTAAACCCGACAACATAAACATACATCAACCCTTATCTACTAAACCTGATAACATAAACACAAAGTCAAGATTGGTAGCTGAATATATATTTCCTTTCTCGAACCAAAAAGCAATACATGAATTCACCAAACTCACCACCTTTGGATCGTAATTATTACAACTTGAAATAACTATAGTCGATTTAATGGTGTTCAAGCAATATCTAAATGTTGACCGAGTCAAAATAATTAGACCCATTTTTGAAAATAATGTAAAAACTATGTAAGTAGTGTCATTAACTTAATTAAATTATAGGAATTATCGAATTCTGATTAATTAAATGGTTTAGAAATATCTGATTCTGATTCACAGGTAAAAAGTAGTAGTTTCTTTAAAAACACTCGTTTGTAAAACAAGATATGAAACAACAATTGAACATAATTGTGGTAAATTCCAAATCAGTAATCTACATTACATGGTGGAAGTAGATGATGTTATTGTCTTCCAACCAAATCATACATCTTTTAATCAAATACTCGTTTTAATCATAAGAAAACAAAAACAAAAACAAAAAGAAAAAGAAAAATGTTGCTTATAACAAACACAAACATCATTCAGTTCAGTATCATCTTCATGTTCTTCTTCCATTGCTTAATCCTTGTACTTCATATCAGCCAGCGAAAATCCCGGCATATCAAAAGATCCAGAAAACTTCTCGACATCAGCCTTCAGTTCTTCGATCTCCTTGTTGTTCGTCAAACCCTTGTTGAAATCCTTCAACAGTTTCCCAAACTCCTTCTGGATGCTCAAAGTGATTTGGATCGCACGGTGAAGGAACTCTCCGATTTTCTCAAAGTCCTTCTCCAGTAAGCCCCTTGATGTCATTGCCGGCGTACCTGTTTCAATCACCATCACCATCGTTCAAAACCACCACAAATTGGGTAAAGATAATCTCAGAGGGCCAACTGAACTAGCAAATAAGGACCAAGTCTAGGTGGGAAGTTCGAGTCCCCCTTAGGGCCACTAGAGATCTTTCCTGAATGTTATCTTCAGGGTCCTATAAGATTATTCGAGGTGCATGCAGGTTGGCCCAAGACAGTTTTACCAACAAAAAAATGTGTAAAGATTCAGGTAACAAAATGCATACCAATTCGGACACCTCCTGGAGCCAAAGCACTGCTGTCACCAAACACAGCATTCTTGTTCACAGTGATGTTTGCAAGATCGCAAAGCTTCTCCACCTTGTTGCCTGCAAAAGCACAATCAAGTATAAGAAATCGAATCCATATCATCATCTATGGCGAACAATGTGCCCAATATGACCGTCACAAGCCCTTACCGGTCAAACCAAGAGGGCGAAGATCCCACAAAACAAGATGGTTTTCGGTTCCACCAGTGACGAGCTTGTAGTCTTTGCTCATCAAGAAGTTCCCAAGTGCAACCGCATTGGCTCTAACTTGTTTGGCATAGGACTTGAAGCCAGGAGTCATGACTTGTTTCAATGCAACGGCTAGAGCACCGATCTGGTGGTTATGGGGACCTCCCTGAAGGGCTGGGAAAACAGCAAAATTGATCTTGTCTTCAAAGTCATAAACTGCATCTTCTGCTTGACCCTTCTTTGGTGGTTTTGGGCCCTTGCGGTAGAAGATCATACCGGCTCTTGGTCCCCTAAGACTCTTGTGGGTGGTGGTTGTGACCACATCACAATACTCAAAAGGATCTGCAGCTTCCTATTAAACCCCAAAGAAATCTTTATTAGGATAATCTTTTGGGAAGAACCAAATATCAGATTCTGAAATCTGGTTTTTCACCAGATCATAATGACCACAACCCGAAAACCCTTTGGGGATCAGGTGTGGATTGGAACGATAAACCCTTCTTTTCATCAATTCAATATTCATTGTACCCTAATATAAATTTATGGCATGGCAAGCACAGATCCAGCTGACCTTTATCAAATCTGAAATTATGGTTGATAACTCCACATAAGTTCAATCAATTTCTCATCTAAATCTATAGATCAAACCCTACTCATCTGAATTCTAAACTACATGTTATATTGCAAATGCAGCAACCCATTCAACTTCCAAGAACATGGCTGGTAATGTTCATGTCTATAAATTTGGGCATCTAAATTCTTATTCAGCTTAATATAATTCTCAAATGCAGATCTGGGAATCAAACCCATTTCAAATCAACAACAGAATTTCAAAAAGTATAAAACAAAATCCAGAATTCGTCATCTAAGCAGCAATTAACATAATTAGCAGTAGATCAGAAAGATGTATATGTGCATACCTGAGCAGCAACAAGACCACTGATATGAGCCATATCGCAAAGCATTAGGGCACCACACTTATCAGCTATAGATCTAATCCTCTTGTAATCCCAATCCCTAGGATAAGCACTTCCACCACAAATAATCAGCTTGGGTCTAAAGTCCAAGGCCTTCTCCTCCATCTTTTCATAATCAATAAATCCGGTGGTCGAATTCACCTTATACGGCAAACTCTCGAAGTAAATCGAAGTCGCCGATATCTTCTTCCCACCGGAAGTATAGTAACCATGTGTCAAATGACCACCTGACGGCAAATCAAGACCCATGATACGGTCATGTGGGTTCAAAAGGGCCGTGTATGCCGCGAAATTAGCCGGAGATCCGGAGTAGGGCTGAACATTGACTCCCCATTTGGTGGGATCTAGACGGTAGGCTTGTAGGGCTCGACTACGGCAAAGGTTTTCGATTTGATCGATGTATTCGTTGCCACCGTAGTAACGGTTGCCGGGCATACCCTCGGAGTATTTGTTGGTTAATGGGCTGCCAAGGGCTTGGATGACGGCGAAGGAAGTGAAGTTTTCAGAGGCTATGAGTTCAATTCCACGGCACTGTCGGCGTTTTTCCTTTTCAATTAGGTCGAAGATTTCTGGGTCAGCGGCGTCCAGGGCGGTGTTTCCCCAAACATTAACCGGATCCATGGCGGAGATGGGTGAATTACGGCTAGAAATGGGAAGAGGAGGAGGAGGTGGTGGTTCAAGATTTTCTGAAATGGAGGAGGGTTTTAATAGGCAAATGGATGTTCAGAAAATTAGAGTTTACCCCCCTGATGTTTCAATTCTTTTTATTTATGGTCCTTTGTGTTTTTTATATTTGCTTTTGGTGTTGGTGGTGGAGAATAAGATGGGATTGGTGAGTGCTTTTTAGTTTTTATTTGAATTTTTATAAAAATGTCCTTTTAGTTAAAACTACTACTAGGTGAGACACTAAAGTTTGTTTCTTCACGAAAAAGACACCAAATACATTTCTTAAGCAATCATATCATTCACCATTCTTCATATGGTTTCACGTAGGTCAAGGACATTTGATAGCTTGTGACGTTTGACTTGAATTGACTTTATCTACAAGTTTTATAATAACATAATCATGATGGTAACGGTAACTTGTATGAGGGGGCATTTTCATTGGAATGAATGAACATGTAAAGTAGATGTCGTAAGATAAGTGGTTACAAAGTTCAAACATCAAGCATACAATAATATCCCACAAAAGTTCCATAACAACTGTTTCAATGGTGGTCTAATCGAGAAATAAGAAAAGTTGTGGGACGAAAGATGCTACTTGATCAAAAAAATAAAATGATCAAATGTTTATAAAAATCATTCAGGTTCAAATCCAAGGAGGATTAAAAATTCATTTGTGGCCACGGAGGTTCAAATGCGGTGACTTCGGACTATCTGCAAAGCAGGTGATCATCTTGGCATTAGTCGGCTAGCATAGCGGGGTGGATATCCAGGTTAATAAAAAAAATCATTATAAGGACCCTTACGAAAACCGAGGCTTCTAAAGTTGTCGGAGGAATGCTAATCTATGTGCCAAGGAAGGTAGGCTATTAAGGAAAGTAATTCATCCGATAGAGACCATCTAGCTATTCGTTAAGAAGAAGCGGTTAGTTTCCTGCTATCTGGTGGTGAATTTGATGTCCTGGCCAATCTACGTGGCTTGCTTGATGAACATCAGCAACGGAGAAGGTAATTTCTCAGCTGGAGCAGAAGTGGACGAACAACACCTCCTTTCCTTGAAGTGACCTTCGGGCGAGGATAAAGTCAGTAAGAATAAGACCGGAAACTATGCATTTGACTATTGGTGAGACCGTATGATTTAAGTAATATTAGACAATATATTATCATAAAAACATGACCCCATTAGATGTTAATTTTTTGATTTATTTTAAATCACTAAAACAAAGAACTGAAATGCATGAACAAATTAATTTGATGAAAACAAATCCAATATTTCTTTTGTAACAAAATTATAGTCTCTAAAACTTGATAAAACACAATTGAAGTTGACTACACGTCTGAACGAGTTGTGCTGAGACAGGTTGTAAATAATCGAACGTTGCTCAAAAAATAATAATAGGCTCGGACTCAAATAACTTTTTCGAAATAGGATCAGAGCTCGTTTATATGCTCCAACTCACGATTCATTAATTCATTTATTGGCTTGAACTCGATAATATTTATATTCTTATTGTATGATCTATTAATATATGAGCCTGTTTGGCTCGAAAAAGTATATGCACGAATGACTTGGTTGGACTTGATTCAACTCGAAAAATTTAATCTAGTTCTTGAATAAGCCGAGTTCCAATATTATGAAGCTCAACTTTTTAAGTTAAACGAGTTTTATGTTATGTTCGAGATCGATTTGAGATCGAGAATTATTAAACTCAAGATCGAGATAAACGAGCTCAAACTCAAGTAGCTCGTTAAAAGTTCGAATTGTTTACACAATTACACCCACTGATATAGCAAGCTTTTGGCCCAATGTGATCTAGGGCACACCCATTTTTAGCTTTTTCTTGTAACACCTGGGATTTTATACTGTAATAATTTAGATTATGATCAAGTCTTAATCGAGATTGCGCTCTTTATTGGATTCGTATGTCTAGTATCTATGTTGGTGAAAAGCCTTATAAATTAGACCTGGAAACAAGCATTAACTAAAGCGTTTCAGGCCTCTGCATGGGTCATGCAACCTTGTGTCGTGACCTTTGCATTGCAAGGCCAGCGTTGCATCCTTTGTACCGTAGGTGGTGAGATTTAGAGCTCGGCGAACCATGTGACTGCGAACCTTGTACCGCGAGGCATGATCACATTTCTTGTACCATAAGGTAGGGATGAGACTCGGATACCGATTTCCAGAACCGAATCTGAACCATATTTTAACACTTAAGGAATAAGATCATCTTTGAATTTATGAACTCTTGAAAGTGATGATTATTTTAATACTTGATTCAAGAAAAAGGAAACATGTCTTGTTGAACATCACGGGAATATGGACCCTTTGGTTAATCTTGAATTTTAAATGTTATTGATGGCACAAAGTATGATAAAAACTATATGTTTGAGTATGGTCAATCATTTTACAGTTGTATCAAGTTTAAGAGTATAATGCAACGAATTCTTAGGTGTTGAATCAATTTTCGTATGTAAGATGGGATAGTTATTCCCATGTAGTAATTAGATACGGATAATGAATCACCTGAAGAATCGACCTGTAGACCATGGGTGGTTGAACTTGATAACCGTGTATAGATCCATAGCGTCACATATTGAATATAATTTCTTTTGGAGATTTTAGTGACACTCGATGTTAATCTTCACCTAGTATTGTTCTGAATTATTAGGTTGTTATCTACAATCTATGTTTTGTGATGTAAATGCCTACACTTCCCATTTTGGGTGATCTTTATCATGTAGGTTTTTATTTTGTAAGTATTTTTTTCAGTTTAAATTTACTCCTATTTTACGGGTGTTACACTTTCCCTCTCTTATCAAGCAACTGTACATTTGATATAGAAAAATTTGTTTAAAGTTTTTTCATTATTTTTTAATCATTAAATACAAATTCTATGTTGTAGTTTATCAAAAACTACGAGTCATGTAAAATTGGAGAATTGTTTTAGGGGCCGTTTACCAAACACTTATTCAATAAACGTTTATCGGTAAAATTTAACACTACCATTTACTTACCGGGTAAGATTTTAGTCCACCAAAACGGTATCGTATGCAATAATTTATCCTGTAAGCGTTTATCGTGGTAAGAGTCGTCGTCCTCACTTACTGGGTAAGACTCTTGGTCCTTGTCTCACTCTTACCGGGTATGATTCTTGGTCCTTACATATTCATCTGATAAGGTTAATGTAACTTGGTGTTCACTTACCCGAGTAAGCGTTTGGTAAACGACCCCTTAGTGAAACTACCATTATGTTATTTATTTTTATGAACTTTTGATGATAACAAATTGATTCATCATTTGTATCAACTAAGGCTAATAGCATGGCATGTTCCACCCAACTCAAGCTGAATAAATTTATTCAATGGTCACTACTAATTGCTTTTGGTCCCAAATCTTTGGGGTTGCTTTTTCCAGTAAACGTTGGTTATATTTTTTTTATATTATTTGTACCAGTAACTGGTTTATGCATGAGTGCTCTTGGAGTAGTCGGTCTGGCCTTGAACCTACGTACCTATGACTTCGTTTCTCAGGAAATTCGGGCGGCGGAAGATCCTGAATCTAAGACTTTTTACACCAAAAATATCTTGATAACCTCTGTTCACGCTCACGATGTTACCATCACCCAAATGATTCTCCAGAGATGAAGCCTTGATATGCAAACTTGAAAGATTTTTCAAATTTGAAAAGGATACATTGCAAAAAAAAAAAAAATGATTGAAACAAGGATGTATAACCGTTATAGTTTATTTGCTTACCAAATTAGGATCAACGGTAGAGTTGTAACTACAACAATTGATAGGATACAGTTTTTGTTATGAATATTGTTAAGAATAAGTTGGGCAATGGAATAGGAGATCAACGAATGAACAATAATTTAGTTATTTGTATTAAAATTGATTTTTGGCCGACACTGATAATTATAAAGATGTCGTATATTTAGAAAATGAAATGCGTCAACTTCACTATTGAATTTGTGAATGTCAGTGTTCCACATTTATAGAGTAGCTACATATATTTACTTTTGTATTAATCACTTCATCAACATAATATATTTATGTATTTATTTACATAATTACATTTAAGAGGATCACACTGATTCAAGATCCTGGCTCCGCCCTTGTTTACACCCATAAGTACAACAAACAACTTTTAATTGGTCATTTTCATCTAATAGATTTCTAATTAGGGGGTATAGAAATTCATTTAATTCAATTAAACTGGACAGAGCATAATTGGATCGATCAGATTCAAAATTTCAGCATTTAAATTGGATCGATCGGTTCTTAGATGTCAATCCATAATCCAAGAAAACTAAATGATCCAGTTACCATCTAAGTAAAAAATATATGTAGTTAATAAAACTTTATGATATTGTTTTAATTGATATTTATATGAAGTGTTTTTTTAAAGATATTAACGAAATAATTAATTAGTTAAATGGCAAATTTTATTCGTACTCCTATAAAAACCTACCCCTTTTCCCATATTCCTTCTACACTAAAATACAAATAATCCCTAAAAACAATGCAATATTATTTTCGTTTTTAATCCTTTTCATAATTTTCATTTTAACCCTTACATGTTTTTGATTTATTATTTTTAACTCTTCATATTTTAATATTATTTTTAACTCTTTCATATTCTCCTTAACCTATTTTTTATTTATACACTAACTATATAAATTAATTAATTAATAATCTATTAGCTAAAGTACATTTTTTTAGTATTATAAACTTAATGTTTTTTAAATAGAAATTTAAAATAACCTTTTTGATTATTATTTTAATAATTTATAATTTTGATAAAATTTTATTTATATTTGTATGCAATATAAATTTTTTACCTTGTTTGAGTCTCATTCTCGCTTCTGGTCATTTTTGGAGCACAATGTTCTCTATTTTTTGGCTTAATTCGCGTTCTCCATTTAATAACAACAAAAGAATGTTGTTGCTATCTGACGTAAATTTAATAACAAAGAAATAAATTGGATTAAATTACACCTATAAAC